AAACCCAAGAAGGAGCCGCCACCTCACGTGACTATCCTCTTCAACGGAATGGCCATAAAACCAACACAGCAAATTATGTTTCTCGGTCTACTGCTTCAGAGCGATGGGAAGGCACAAGCCGCCGTCACAAAGATTAAGACGACAACCGAACAGATTCTTGGCATGATTCGAAGGTATCTAACAGACACCGAGGCCTGAAGAAGGACGATGTCATGCGCTTGGTACGCACGTTCGTTCTGTTGTGAGTTACCTACTGCACCTCGTATCTCCAGCTGACGAAGGCGAATAGGAACACCCTCAACACGATGCTTCGCAAGGCAACGGAGCAAGCACTGGGCGTGCCAATATACTCGTCTACGCTAAGATTGCTAGACAAGGGCACCCACAACACGATCGAGGATCTCATTGAAGCCCACCTCTCTAATCAGAGAATCCGGCTCAGTCACACGGAGCACGGACGAGCTGTCTTATGCAAGATATGATGGCAGATCGAGCCAATACCCGTCAAGGCGGCCCTTCCGGAGGACTGGAAGAGAACTATTCAAATGAAACACCTTCCCCAGAACATGACGCCGGGCAAGGACGACAAGAAACGCACAGCGCGGGCCAACGCCATGGCCCGGAAGCTGGAAGGAAACCCCAGGGTCATGTACGCGGACGCCTTCAGAATGTACCCTGCGGAACACGGCATGGTTTGTCCGTTTTGTAAAATAGAAAATGGCACCCTGTCGCACATTTTGGCAGAGTGCACAGAATTTAAAAACTCCCCACCATCCCTTCCCCCCGACACCTCGAATCCCTAACTCTTGAGCGATGGGAGACCTTGTTATCCAGCCCCGCCCTACCGACTCAGCGTGCACTGACGAACAGGGGCCAGGAGCTGCTGGATACATATGGGTCCCGCAACTAAGGAACCGTCCCGTCTGCTGCCTCCGCGCACTACCAACAATGTTGGGCCCAATAAATGTTCATTCATCATGAGAAATTGGTCGCGTCCCTGACCTGCGGCGACTGCAGAGCGGATGCGTGTAGACTATAGCCCGCCGCTATATCAAGGAATGCTGTGCCTCCACAGCCTGCAGTCACTGCGGTGACCCTGAAACCCTCAAGCACCTCCTTTGTGCCTGCTCTGCGCTGGCGCAGCAATGCTCGAGGGCACCACGGACTACAGAAGACATGTCCTTCCTTCCACCACCCTGGAGCACCTGCTCTTTCCCTCTCATTTCCATCCACCAGTGCTCCGGAGCCTGGTGGAGTTCCTGAACGAGACGGGCATCCCGGCCTACCGCTGAGAACGGGACCCTTGTCACCCATATCCTTGCCGCCGGACTGCTCTTCATGCTGAAGACGTCTGCACCACTGCTCACCTAACCCATTTTTACCCTATCAACTTTTCTCCTATTCTTTTTTGTCCCACAGGCGCTGCGCCGTGCTCCTAACTGAGCTGCAGAAATTGGGCGCGTTCTTCCTCTTCTCACTACTACCGCCACCACCACCACCACTAGTATACATTCCGTCCTTCCTCACATGACGAAGAACCTTAATAGATTTGCTGGTGTCAATTGAAGACCAGCGCCTGAAAGAAACGTCAGGACCTCATGCAAGCGTTGCAAGTGTAGAGGAAATGCGATGAAAAGACAAAAAATGTCATCTAGGTAAGTCATCCCTTTCAAGCCATGCAGCACGGCACCAATAATTCGCTCAAACGTCGCGGGCGCGTTATACACATGGCGCATATATGATATTGAATTAGTATATAGATGGTCTGGTGCAGTAAACACCTTTTTTTTTTGTCCTGGTGTCTAAAAGTTTCGACATCTGCTCCTGCCAGTGCATTACAACCTCTTAGTTCCCAGCGATACCATTTCGAGTTGTAGGCTTTGACCCCCCTCCAGCCAGTGGCACTCACAACCAGTGGATAGCGCCAGCCGCTGATCATTCGACGCACTACACCGAAACAACACCTGTCGCTGCATACTTATGCAGCTACTGAAATCGACGTTTTTGTTCTCCAAACCATTATACTGCGCCATGGTGGTCCACGTGTTCTCATAAATGACCGCGGAAAAGCCTTCCTCTCTGAACTAGTGAACGAACTCCTCCACGCCTCCGGCGCAACTCACAAAACCGATAGTTGTCGCCCCAGACGAACAGCCTGACTAAAAGTTAGCATGTACAGTAACTCTTGCCGACATGATCGCCGCCTATATTCAAACAGACTACGAGAACTGGAACGCGATTCTGTACGATTTGTAACTTTCACCTTACAGATATTCAACGGACAACCAGCTGCTCATCCTTTTACCTATTTTACGTTCACTCTCCTACTTCGTTTCTGGACTTTTCTTTCTATACCTCCAACGTAATCCATTTCCACCCTCTTCTGAAGAATGCCTTTCACGACTCGCCCAGCTTGGCCAACGTACTCGCATGAATACTGAAGCCAAACAGCAAGAGAGCAAGGTTTTTTTTTTTTTTTTTGCGAAATATCACATCGGGCTCTATCCTTCCGACCTGGCGACGAGGTGCTGCTATTGACGCCTGTTCGCACACGTATCTTGCTTGAGTAACAATATCAGCAAGGGTTTATCGGGCCGTACACAGTTCCGGAGAAGACTTCACCAGTGAATTGTTGTGTGACACCACTTGTAACACCAGCAAACCTTCATTATTGTGCTGAGGTCGTCCACGTCTCCTGCAAAATGCCCTTCATATGCGACGTTCCAAGTCACCTCGACTTGCAGCGGCCAGGCTGACCGCTTACAATATGCGCAATAAATAAACGAGGAATACTGCAACAGAAAAAATTAAGATGCAAGCACAAATGTTCCTCAACAAGAATATGATACGGGTGAAATTCGATTTAACACACATTAGCTTTTTTGGCTAGCCATTCAAGACGGTTTCTAGACGCGAAATAGCTTCTTTTGTGTGTCATGAATATCAGTTTTTAAACTGCTACCATGCAATCGATTTATTTTTGAAGAAGAAAATGTTTCAATTATTTAATTAAAGTGTCTCCCGGAAATCGCACGTCTTTCTATAGAGGCCGAAAGTAGCACAAACAGAACTAAGAGGAGCATGATGTGATTAAGTTAGTGAGGCATATCTAAAGGGATAAAATACCGGAAGTGCAAACTAACGGTGCACAGAAAGATGACACAACAAGCGCAAAAAGAGGACGCACGGCCTCTTTCTGTGTTCTGTTAATTTACGTTGCCAATATGTTACTATGTGCCTCGTCACGGTGGTCTAGTGGGTAAGGTACTCGGCTGCTGACTCAAAGGTCGCGGGTTTGAATCCCGGCGGCGGCGGCTGCATTTCCGATGGAGGTGGAAATTTAGGCCCGTGTGCTCAGATTTGGGTGCACGTTAAAGAACCCCAGGTGGTCGAAATTTCCGGAGCCCTCCACTACGGCGTCTCTAATAATCATATGGTGGTTTTGGGACGCAAAAACCCACATTTCAATCAATCATTCAATCAATCAATCAATATTATACTACGCGGGGGTATGCGCTGAGTCTGGATTCGCAAGGGGGCAACACTATCGCCGCGCAATTTTGAAGGTCCATTCGCACGCTCGTCCAGATGTCCGCGCTTCGGCGTGCGGGAAATATAATATTGCAGATATCACTAGACATCCAAGTTGCCGTACAGATCTCGGGCATTGCACATGCGACGAGCTCCAGCAATCCGATAAGGTCAAGTTCATATCTCCTATACTAACAGCCCGACTTTGCAATTGATGCCTGACGAGGTACGGACACAAAATTTTGCGGCCAAGATAGCCGGTGGGATCGATTACCGTGAACATGTGTACATTATATGCAAAAATATCCACAGCGAACATAGCTCGAAATGTATTTTACATGAATATTGAAGTTCGCGTACGCGATCGAGCGAAATGACTCACGGCGAAACTCCTATACCTCCCTCACGTCTCCACGGTACTGTCAATACAACTTATGATGACGTCATATCCGCCATTCACACACACACACACACACACACACACACACACACACACACACACACACACACACACACATATATATATATATATATTATATATATATATATATATATATATATATATATATATATATATATATATATATATATATATATATTTAGCGCTCGGCGGCTGCTCGAGAGTCCGTTTTTGCTTCGTAGCGCTTCTTCCCTGGTCATAAAGGACTTCTTAATGTGGACCATGCGGAAATGCGTCACTGTTCTCGGCTGACGTGGTCGGACGTTGCATACGCTAAGCGGAGATAGTTGTATCCGGTGGCTTGTCGGTTTTGCAGCTTTCTCGAACCAAAACTGAGATTGGTTGGCAATCAGGAGCATGCTGCGGGCAAACTACGTTCTGCGTTATGACTAACAGGCCCCAAGCAACACGTTGTAGCAAAAAAACGCGAGGCCAGAATTTTTGTGTCAGTATCCGTTTAGAAATATGCAAGGCAGAAAATAATCATGGAACCAGATGATTTTGTGTCCTCGTTGTCTTTGTGTTTCATACTGGCGCTCATGTTTTTTTTTAATATTTTCTATAATGACACAAACCACCAAATTACAACTACATACCGCACTCTTTGGCGCTCACACTCCTCGTCGGTATCGTCAAAAGGGACTTCAAAAAGTGCGATGCATAGTCATGCGAAACTTTCAAGGCAAAGAGAGGTAACAGTTGCCAAGAACGCGTCTAACAAAATGGCTTATCACTTGATAAAGCGTTGAGAAATCGCAAAAGAAACAAAACCACTTTTTGTGGTGGTGCAACACTTCGCAACTTCAAATTGAACCAATTATAGTCTAGCACAAAGTTGTACCGCTTATAAACGCATGCGTTTAACTATAGACTCTCTCCCGAAATTCCCGAGAAACTCAGTAGCGGAAGAATATAACGTGCGCCTCTGTATTTATCGTCGTCATCTCCTTCGCTATCAGTGCGACGCTCGCAACCCGTATACGTGTTGCCTCTTTCCGCCTGAAAGACTCGAGCATTTGCAGAAAGGATGTGAGCCGCAGGGGCGTGTGTCTGCTTCGGAAGCACCCCGCAGGAATCGAGACGCCCTTCCCACAAACAAAGCCTTCCGCCGTGGCGATGGAGCCGCAAAACGTGAAATGTGAGTTTCTGAGCTTTTTGCGTGTTAAGCGTTGCATGCAAAGCGCACTGTCATCCCAATGAGCTCGCGGGCAAAATTGGAAAAAAACTGTGATGTAATTCTGCATTGGGGAAGCACAGCATTTGACGACCCTCTGCATTGTAAATTGGGTTAAGAAGCTACCAATGAGCATGCCTATATTTTAAGAACTGCAGTCACTGGTCCGCGTTTGGTGTTTGTAACTGTGTGCCTGTTCAACTCACTTCTGTAATGATATCCCGTTTCTCCGCCCACTTAATGTACTGATATCACTGATAACCAAACTATATTGGTCACGTTTCGCCCTTTATTAATTCGGTGAATATCTGATTCCTGTTTTTGCGGTTCTTTCTGATTATTTTCGTCTCTCTCTCTTTTTTTTCTGATGTGAGCCATACCGTTAGGCTATGCACTGACCTTATGGTCATTCGAGCCTACTCATTACTGTATACACGTTCGTATACTTCTGCTGTATTTTTGTAATTACCCATTCATGGAATTACAGGAGGTCCCCCTGTCGGTTCCTCCTTGACTTTGGGTGCTCCCGTTGTAGTATGCTGACCATCAGAGAGCTGAGTTAGTGCGCATACGTGTTCATTCTAAGAGACAGGGCGTGCAAACACGCAGGAATCAAGTCAGGACACCACAGATGCCAACTAACAACTAAAGATGCATATAGGAGCGAAAAAAAAAAGCACGACAAACTATTTGCGCGTACACATGCATTATGCGAACCTTTCCGTCTGGCGCACGTGGGGGTTTACGTGAAAGATGATGGTTAAGGTATGTCATTTCATCTTTATAACATTTATTCGATAACTGGCTTACGCATGTTCTTGCACTATTATCGATATGCCATGCCTCAATCATTCGACTCGTTTTTTTTGCACAAAACTGCACATTTATCGGACTTTGGCGCGCTCTTACATTCTCGACAATGTGAAGAATGATTGGAAGGTGAGCCTCCGTTTAGCGGTCTCTTGTGCGGCAGTGATTCATGTTGGTGTGTTTTATAAAACACATATAGGTCCGCTTCTGTATTTTACTCGCTCATTCTTTGCATTTTACTCGCAGCACGAATCTTACGAAGCTTATTTAACGCCGTGTCTACTAACAACTTTAACGCCGTACCTAATTTCTTTAGCCTGTGAGAAACCCAATAAATGTACGCCATGCTTGCAATACGCTTCTTCCTATCGTTTTCTGCAACCATGCTTGGGCTTAACATAACGGACTTCTTTGAACATTTAGCGATGGTAGCCACTGCACCAAGAGGATAACCGACATCTAAAAGACCCGTAACCTGTGCGCTAAAGCAATCACTCAATTTTTTTCTCACGACTTCACGAGGGCTGACCTAAATGGAAACTAAAGAGAAACAATCAGTTGTTTTATGATAAACTGCACTCTTATAACTCTAAGGTTATACGTTTCACTGTCATAAGTTCGATATTAGCTGAAAAATCAAGGTTGAAGTTTCAATTTTAAATCTCGCGCCGAAGTCTCCGCACGTTACGTAAGAAATTCCACAATGTATTTTTCGTGTTTTCGCAACTGTTTGGCTCTGTCAAATTTTCTGAAACTTGGCATGCTAAGTCTATGGCACGAACCGATGACAATATACTTCAATTTTATTGATTAGAAAGTATACGTAAGACCCAGTGGACGCCTTCAAAATTTATGACGTCACAGGGTGTGGTGCGGGAATCTCAAGGTGGCGTCTCCGCCCGCAGTTTATTTTCGCGCGTTTCCTTCTTCACCAAGTGTTGTGTCGCAATAAAAGTGGTGTTTTTTGGATTTTAAAAATATACCTTACTGATACGCGAAAAAGCACTTAACACGACTACGTCGTTTTTTTTTACAAAATTTGAGTGCTTCGATGGCAAGTTTAAAATCGCTTTTGAAGATCCGAGAATATTCCCAGCGACCGTGGTTGTACTGAAGCGTTGAGGAAACGTGTAGAAATTTTGATACTCTATTTCGTGGAAATGCTTTAGTGAAGTTGAGTCGTCCTCTATTTTATTCGAATATTCGGCTCACTAAGGTTACCAAGGATGCGACCGCTTCTTCGTTGGGCAGATGGGACGCTGCATTAACCGGAAAATATTGGAAGAGAAGAGGGCGCTAACCGGAGGTCCACCTTCTAATCTTTCTTTACATCGTCGAGAATGTGAGTGCGCGCCAATATCCCATCAATGCGTAGTTTTGTACCGGCGCGTCTAATGAATGGAGGAAGCAACGCGTCTAATGATTGAGGCATGACATGTTGATAATAGTGGTATCGTATGCGTAAGCCAACCATCGATGAACTTGCACAAAAAGGAAATCCAATGTCTTGACAGTTATCACGTAAGCCACCACGTGTGCCAGATTGAAAGGTTCGCATAATGCACGCGCATGCTCAGATAAGTTGCCTTCTTTCTTTCCGCCACTGTGTGCATCTTGAGTGGTTAGCAGGCGTTTGTGTGCCCTGATCTTCTTCTCGTGTCCGTGTTTAGATTCCCTGTCATTTAGAATGGATCCTGACCATTTAACTCAAATGAACGATCTTAATAATAAACTTCACTACACTTGAAGTGGGGGATTTAATAACAGTCACGTAATCATTTTCAAAATTTTTCGCGTGCTGTAAAGCAGGTGGACAATGACCTAGTCGTGTTACGAACCCATCACTCCATTATACAAGATTTCAGTGAAATTCTGCAAGTCAGAAAGTCTGACTGTCGACTCAAGGAATGAGTCGCAAATTGAAAAGCATGCACAAACAGCGTTGATTTAAACAAAAGACTAAGTCAAACTAGGGCAAATAATAATCGCAAGAACTGAACTTTGTAATAAAAATGCACTTGATAGCAAACTTTTGAAGAAAATAATACAAAAATAGTTTGAAAAAGATTCGTCTAAAACTTTGTGTGCAAACTTTCGGATGCACCTTCCCGTTTCTCATGCACCATTCCACACAAGAAAACATCATGGGGCAAAATATCTGCTTTTATTCGCGCCTGTGACTGCAAGGTAGCACCTTGGCAAAACGTGTCTTCAGGTGTCACCGAAGTATTCCATAACACCTCTTCGCACGCGCAGGTGCAATGCGTCTTTCATTAAGTATGGACTTCAAAGAACGGACTTAATGGAGCAATTTTCTTTATTAAGGCAAAGGCCTGAGATGACCTATCAAACGGGAAAATCGACCGCAGGTGTCGGGGAGGACAAGAGTGATGCGAACAATCATCTCATGATGACGTCACTTTATTTTATTTTTTTTATTTGTGCGAGTACCTTAAAGGCCCTACAGGGTGTTAAGTATTGGGATTCAAGCTTGATAATACACACACTCACACGCACGCAAAAAATTCACCAATGATTACGATACTGCCTAACGCAATTTTTGAGCACAATATAATGTTGGCACAAGGCCAACTGTCTTTAAAGTCTGGCTTTCCACGAGAGGTCCACTACTCCATAAATCAAGGTTTTTGTGAACTACGACTGCACCTACTCAGCCATTATTCCTCTCTCTGTGGTTAAGCGAGGTACCTGCTAAACATTTGTAAGGTATTATTTGCGCTCTGTTGATGCTACTTGTGGCTGACGACGGTGAAAAAATACGCCTGAGCATTTTACAGTGGGTGGGTAGCTTTCAGCCAGACACTCGTAGTGGAATACGTATTGTGTGATGACGGGTCATTTCACTTTTCTGCCACGCTATATTGCATGTGTGAACGTGATTACGTGCCCGATATGACGCACCATTTGGAGGTCGTGCATGGCTGTACGTAATGCAGATGTAGATGCTAGACGATGTAGGATACTTTTGTGTGTCCCGTATCTAATTTATAGAATTGCAAAAAGCCCCACCGCGGTGGTCTAGTGGCTAAGGTACTCGGCTGCTGACCCGCAGGTCGCAGGGTCGAATTCCGGCTGCGGCGGCTGCATTTCCGATGGAGGCGGAAGTGTTGTAGGCCCGTGTGCTCAGATTTGGGTGCACGTTAAAGAACCCCAGGCAGTCGGAATTTCTGGATCCCTCCACTACGGCATCTCTCATAATCATAGCGTGGTTTTGGGACGTTAAACCCCACATATCAATCAATCAATCAATCACTCACTCAATCAATCAATCAATCAATCAATCAATCAATCAATGAAGAATTAAAAAATGACAAAAGATATGTCCGACTGGGCAACTCGCGAATCTTTATTGCACATGGAACAGTTGAAGAAACGTTGTACTTGGCTTTTCACTGTCAAAAGTTGAAGCTCCGCAATAAAGAAATACCGCCGTTGCCCTGTGGTAGATGACGAGAGTTCGAAGTGTGGGCTTGTTGGTGAATGATTTGGATAGCTTCGATGCAGCGCGAAAGGACACAGAGACACGAGAAGCGCTTCGTAGTGTCCTGCTGTGCATTCTTGCGTTCGTGTGTCTTTCCGGTCTACACCGAATCTGTGACACGACTGCCACGCGGACACCCCGTGTTCAGATTCCCTTCAATCATACAATTTTTTCCAATTTTATTTTTTTCATGTCTATTGGTTACGACACCAATGGCGACGCCACTCAGCGCAGGAACGGGCTTCTAAAAATATACGCTCTAAAGTACGTACAGTTTCCTAAAATCAGCTGTAGGGGAACTCTAGCGCTGCGATCGTTCAGTCACCATAGGAATGATGGGCAGTACACAAAGTTGCCTAGTCTTCGTGGTTTCGGGCTTCGAACGTATTGTGGCTTTGTCTACCATTGTGTTTGCTTTTGTTTCAAATAAAGCAACGGACCATCATAAAGTTCAGGACCAAATCTGAATTGGTGGGCCTAACAAGGTTAAAAGGGTGAAAGCGTATAACTGCGGAGTTTTCGCTGAATTTTCGTCTTGCGGCAAAGCGGATCCAGCCCACAAGCAGCCAAACGGAGCCGAAAGAACAAAGGCTGGGCAAGTATGTGTACTGCTCATCATCCCCACATGTTGGCTAAAGCGCCGTGCGTTGCAGCTCACATATATATATACTAGCGCAGATCTACCGCCAAGTAAGTATTGTAGAAAATTTTGCGCTAATATAGACACTGATAGGGCACATAGTACGTTGGCAGGATTACCGCTGTTCATTAAAGGTAACTAGGTGAGGGTAAACGCGTGAGGGGGAGACAAAGTTAGGTGGGCAGGTTAGGAAGTTTGCGGGTACAACGAGCCAGCAACAAGCACAGGACCGGATATACAGGCAGAGCATAAGAGTGGCCTTTGCCTTGCAGTGAGCGCAGTCATAGGTAGGCTGATGATGCTAATGGAAAAAGGGGTGGCGAACATGACATAAAATCCAATTCGGAGGAGGCAACAAAAAGGTCCCAAAAGATGCATTGTAAAGATGATGTTGCGTTATACAACTTTTAAACTGGTAGACGTGTTTTGTGGAAGTAGCCGATACATCCAGGTTACGACATGTTTTCTTCCGAAAGCGTTATCGGGGCAGCTTGGAATGACAGTGCTTCTATGAGCGACACGGTCGATGTGAGTAACGAGTTCACTTTTGTAATTAATGATACGGACGGCCAATTTTGGTAGAAGTTAGTCCGGGCAAATTCAGGCTTTATTTTATGAACGTGGTCTGACCGAACTCAAACATTTGGAGTGGGAAGGTGGTTAGCTTTACCATGATAAAGAAACAAGCACAATCGCGCAAACTTTGTGCGCAGGCCAAAGCTAACAAGATTTAGTGAGTTATTGAAGTGGGCTCACTTTCGTGACGAAAGTATGGAGATGAGATGAAGCGTGGAGATTAATTTTAATCTGACTCGACTAGGTTAAGCATATGTGACATCGTGACGTCGTAACATGCCACAGTCATGACGTCACAGGCAAGTCGGTTCATGTTATAAAAAAATTAATGGCGCAAAATGCGCCTGTAAAATTTGTCATAACATAAACCACTCGCCCAACCAGCAGCTTTGGCTAAGTATAATACCAAATTTAGTTTTCCAGAAATTTGCCACAATGTGCTACATTTTAGCTTCATTTTTTCTCTTCGCACGTAGGCTGTTGCAAGAACTGGATTACGGCTTTATGCTGTATATTGCTGTGGTTGTTTAGCCCTTCAGGTAAGAACGAACGTAACTCCACTTGACGAAGGCATTGTAACATGTGATAAACAGCTGCTTCAATTATCCGCATTTCTTCGCACGTATACATCAAGCGGCCGTCTTCATCGAAAACTTCAGCCATGGACGCATTCTTCCCGTGGTGTGCTACTACGAGAAAGGACAGGCTCTCCGTCCTTATCCCATGAACTACGACACTAGCGACGTGCCTGGCCACCTTTGCAGCCACGTGAACCTGGCTTTCATGGAGCTGAACCGCACCACATACACTATCCAAGAGGACCACACAGGTACGCTGTCATGAATATTGCCGCACTATACTTTCTCAAGTTTTGTTATCGGCCCATTACACGCGACAGTGCTGCCTTGCGCAAACCACGCTGACTGACTAAGAACCACCAAGATAATCTTGGAACATGCCGATGTAATCACGCGCACACGCCACATTAAATATTCTTCTGAAACTTACGTGGCCGCTAGCAATAACGCTGTATTCAACGGCTGATTGATTGATTGATATGTGGGGTTCAACGTCCCAAAACCACCGTGTGATTATGAGAGACACCGTGTGGAGGACTCCGGAAAATTTGACCACCTGAGGTTCTTAAACGTGCGCCCTAAATCTGAGCACATGGGCCTACAGCATTTTCGCCTCCATTGATAATGCAGCCGCCGCAGCTGGTATTTGATCCAGTGACCTGCGGGTCAGCAGCCGAATAGCCACTAGACCACTGCAGTGGGGCTGTATTCGACGGCGTATGCATAAATAAAAATGCCCACGCATTTATGCCAGATTATTGACGACCGACGCTCCGTTCGCCGCTATTGTGCCAGTGAGTATCGCTTTATTCTGACTTTCCATTTCCCGGTCACAACTTCGGCCAAACAAAACAGTTTAATCATGACCATATGTACTCCTGCTTTCGTCACCGTCACGATCATGGTGGCGTTTTCCTTGCGATGAATGGTGTCTGTTGTGCTGGACTTAATATAATTTGTGGTATCTACAATATCGAAGGGGGAGTCATGAAAGTAGCTATAGAGTAGCCATTAATATCCATTCAGGGTGGCCATTAGTTGCTGTTAGTAGCGAATGGTAGCAATTTGGAAGCCGTGAGTGGTAGTGACAGAATTCACACCAATTAAGAGAATGGTATCGCAGCATAGGATGGCAGATAGACGAAGAGGGACAATTAATCAGCTGCCCACTCATAATAAGTTCACGTGCTACGTGATGCCAAACATGCGCATGAGAGTGTTTTCACACTCGTCGTTTGGCTTATAGATGGCGCTGACTGTCACTCCTACTTCTAAATTCACATATAAACCCAAAAAAGTGGATGGAGGGAAGGCCGCTGTGGTAGCTCAGTGGTTAGAGCATCGAACGCGTTATTCGAAGGTCGTATGTTTGATTCCTGCTCACGGCTGGTTGTTTTTTCATCCACTTTTCTTTCTTCTTATTTACATTCCATTGGTTCTAATAACTTCCCCTGTACATTCCTTGGCATTACTGTCTGTTAGATCTCATTAATAATGTGTTAAAACACGGAAAAACGAGCCCTTAGTTATACACTTCTTTCCCTTATTCTATATATATATATATATATATATATATATATATATATATATATATATATATATATATATATATATATATATATATATATATATATATATATATATATAAGGCTTATTTGCAGAAAAATAACTTCGGTTGCCGCAAGGTTATAAATATGAAAGTAGATGCGCTTACACATAACAACTGCTTATTCTGCCGACGTTTCGACGGGAACCCCGTCTTTTTCAAGACATAATAATATTTACACATGTTCCCTGTCTTCTTATAGCCTGTCGAGACAGGAGGGAAGGGGTCAAAAGAAAAGTAAAAACAAGAAAAGAGAAAAAAAGAAGCAGCGAAACGGGAAGAGAAACATTAAATAATTATAGAAAATCTAGGAGAAGAAGCAAGACCGACACGGCGTAATTAGAAAGGGGCAGCATCTCAACAGAGTACGGCAGAGGTAGATGAGCAATGCTATTATTGTCAACAATGCCTCCCCCGCACCTCCTCTTCCCCAAGTGGTCATTGTGCCGCCGTTCTTGTATTTCCCCTTTCCGTGTAATCCACTGGCGGCTCTTTCCTCTTTGAACTTTAAGGCAAGTTAATGGGGAGAGCTTAAGCGCTTCGAGTACGTGCTGGTGGCGTCGGGAGGAATGAAAAAGCCGGTGATTGAGGCGCCGCCATCGATATTCATTTTATGCAATGGCTCCTTATCAGTGAAGAAACAGAATGTGCGTTAAAAATTAAAGAAGAAAAAAAGAAAAAAAGGGGGGGAGGGAGACTGCACGACATCCGGGACAGTCACCACACAGTTGCGGCTCACTGGAAAGACATGCGCGCATGTGTGAAAAAGTTAGCAAAACCACTTAGCTGTCAGCTCCTTGTCAGTGAAGGAACAGAATGTGCGTTAAAACTTAAAGAAGAAACTTTGCAGAAGGGGAAATGAAACGGTGGAACGAAATTCTCGATCACGCCACACAGGAGCTAACTAAGGTCACCATCGAACACTGTAGAAAGACTCTAAACGCACTGACAGACGAGGATCAGTATATAAGAAATAACTTTCCTCTTTCGGAGTGGGAAGCTAAAGAACTCGACGTATTTGAGCACAAAAAAAAAACGGAGGAAATTCGCGCGGGACAATGTGTCACAAACTATACCCACTGCTGCTTACAGAAAAAATACCAAACCATCTCAAGTTCAAAAAAATTTGCCACCACACCCCAAAGAGCCAAACGTTATTAACCTTTCCGATAAAGAACTTAGCAAAGAAGAATTAAGTATACTATCACGCGGACTTACATTCTGCCCTGGCAACGGAAGGTACGATGAATTCACGCTCCTAAAAGATCTAGACGACTTCGCACGAAATTTACGATTGAAGGAATATTTCTTCGATAAACCACAAAAAGATAACGCACTTTTTCGTGGGGTAATCGGACGGCAATGGACCCCAGACGCCAACAAAGATCGACATCTGGATCTCTATATTGATGCGGTTCAGAAAGATGTTATACATGCGTACAAGGTGCACAAACCAAGCATGAATAACATATAAAAAAGAGAAAAAGAGGCACTACTCACGTTGAGCAACTGCGAAGATCTCGTCATTAAACCAGCAGACAAAGGAGGCGCGATTGTTGTTCTGAATAGATCGGACTACATTGAGGAAGGCAAGCGACAAATAAATAACAAACAATTCTACAAACACCTCGACTTTGACCCTACCACGTAGCACAAAAAAGATCATTGTAACAACCCTAGAGGATCTCACACGTGAAGGCGCCATTGATTCAAAGCTTAAAAAGGCACTTATTACGGTACATTCGGCGCCTGGTCGTTTTTACATGCTGCCGAAGATTCATAAAGAGAATAACCCTGGCAGACCCATTATATCAGGCACGGGAACGTTAACGAAACCTATTTCCATTTATATTGATTCTTTAATCAAAGACATACCACCCACACATGAGTCCTTCTTGCGTGACACAAACCATTTCCTTCGGGAAATAGCGGACTTGAAAATTCCAGACGGTGCATTTCTCGTAACATTGGATGTTAGCTCACTCTACACAAATATCCCACATGACGATGGTGTAAGGGCGCTTGTTGAATCGTATGACACACACAACCCTGTCGCATATCCAAGCAAAAAAGTAATTGAAATCTTCACAAGACTTGTACCCGAATTGAACAGCTTTGAATTTAACAACCAGTACTACTTTCAAATCAGCGGCACGGCAATGGGTACAAGAATGGCCCCAAACTACGCTAACATATTCATGCACCACATAGAGTCCAATTTTCTTTCATCTTGTGATATCAAACCATTATTCTATAAACGGTACCTAGATGATATATTCATAATTTGGATACATTCGGAAAACGAGCTCCTCAAATTCATACAGGCATTCAACCAGGTACACCCCAGCATTTATTTTATACACTCCTACTCTAACACTGAAATAAACTTTCTTGATGTACTCATTCGAGTTGACAATGGTGCATTGGTAACTAGCGTATACAGAAAACCTACGGACAGGCAACAATACCTGCACTTCAAAAGCTGCCACCCGCGACATTGCAAGACCAGCATTCCCTATTCCCAAGCACACAGATTCTGACGAATCTGCTCCCGCACCGAGGACTTCCACAAAAACAGCACACATATGCGCGAAGTACTCCTTAGTCAAGAATACCCGCCAGCTATCATCGATGACGCCATCAAAAAAGCTGAAAATCTGGACCGCCTGATTCTTCTCAACCACGAGAAAAACGCCGACCAACACCGCAACAAAAACTTGCTATTAACTTTCACGAGCAACCCACCGAACATAAACAGGGTCCCAAGAAAACACTTTAACATATTGGAACAGAGCGTGCGACTATCCAAAATTTTCACTTCTCCTCCTTGTGTTGTATACAGACGGCCGAAAAAAATTAAGGATCATTTAATAAACTCAAAGATAGGCGTGAAATCTCAAATTGGGTGTCACCCTTGCGGAAAAAAAAATTCCGCCATATCCACGAAGTGAATGATGATGAGTGGGCGAAGCTCCGGAGGTAAACCTGGTAAACCATGAATCCTCTGTACATTTTGCCCACTCGATTTTATTACATCGCTCCCCCTAGCATACGTCGCCGCACTAAATCGAACGATTGCCTTCAACCAATGACACGCGCCATATGTGACATCATTCCTATTTTATAAGATCTCGCGTCTTTCATCAACTACAAGTACCACTTTCTAGTTTATAACATCTTGCATCTTTTCATCATCAGCTACAAGTACCACCATCTAGTAAACACTACAAGAACAAAACGAGAAGTGGCTACATACAGGAGACGGTACCGCCATCTAGTGAACACTGCAAGAACTAAACTAGAGGTGGCTACATACAGGCTACAGGGGACGCAAAGCCCACGCCCTAAGGAGCTTCGCCCCTAAAAGCAGATGCAAGGTATGCAAACACATGCAGACAACGACAGTGGCGAAAAGCACCCACTCGGATTTTAAGCACAGGATAAGAGGTGCACTAGACTGTGACTCAGACAACGTCATATACCTCCTGGAATGTGGGGTATGTAGCAATACGTGGGCCAGACAGACACTCCGTTTAGAATTAGAATCAACAACCATCGGGCACATCTACGATCTCTGCCAGGCCTTCCACTTTCAAAACACTGCACATTAAAAGACCACAGCTTTGATGACATCAGGGTTACACT